TTACAAGTTGTTTTGGAAAGTGTGCCATAAAAGCGGTTCTGTGAATGCAAACAATTTTTTCCCTTTTATAAGTCTTCCTTCATCATTTCTGAGAATTTATTCCAAATATCTTTGTCATAAGTGAAGTGATTCCTAAAATTATTCTGAACTGACTATTGTGCCATTAACAATCTTAGGATTTTAGTTTTAGGGCAAAGTTTACGGCCTAAAATTGCAGATTGTCAGTTTGACTTATTGTCAAAACAGTCTAAACCTTTGGGTTCCCCTGCCCTCTGGATCCCCTTAGTTTATTCTTAGAATTATGTGAACGTTAGTCAGCAATAGCATAATGTTCATGTTCTTATGAGTAATGTGTGCAATAGTGGTTCTATTGTTGATTAAATAAACATGTTTATATTTTGGGTTAGGTAAAAGACTAGGGGATATTAATTCTTCCTTTTGGGTTATCTAAATTTTATAAACTTTACTAACACAAGTAAGTAAGAAAAAAATTTGTCCATTTCTGATGAGTATGATTTAATTTATATCAGTGTTTTAAAGACATTGCGCTTGTGTTTTAAAGAAAATGCGCCTCAAGCGATCTCGTAACCTAGCGCCTTGCGTATTGCCAAACAATGAAAGTTACTAACGGGCGCTCTTTGGCATGGCGCCTCATGACCTCGCCTTGGCGCCTCCAGTGATCACCTAAGGCATGTGATGCAAGGCGTGAGGTGTTTGTCTCTCTTTCAAAATTTGGAGGGTCGAAAGGTGTCTGATAAAGTCAAGTTTGTTTTTGCTATTTAACTTTGGAATTTCTTTTTTCTTGGTCGACTTTTTACTAATTTTTATTGTAATGTACTTTATTACCTTTATCACTTTGAGGACACACCCCACTTTGAACCTTAAAGCTCAAAGTGTGCTGCTTAGTTATCTGTGTTAGTGGGTACTATTAAATATTACTATTCAGTATTTGTTACTACTTCATATAGATGGTTTATGATTTATCCAATTTGCGATTTTGAAATTTTTGTTTGATTAATTTGTCTTCTTGCAATTTATTGATATTTGAATATTATTTGTAATATTTATGATTTTTTTGAATATATATCATCTTGGTTCACTCAGGCAGTCGCCTTCCTCTCGTCTCAGGCAACATAGGATCCCATTGCCTTGACCTCCTTTTGATTTAAAGCACTGGTTTAGTTATGTCACATGTGGTCTTCGAATGGTGGCAATATGACCTTTCTAATACTTTATGCGAGGTAGAATACTGAAGGTTTGGAAATAATTGCAACATCGGATTGCCAGTTTAACTATTTTTTCTTTTTCTTTTTTCCTTACACATTGGGATTATTGAATCTTGGAAACTAGATGCAGTTACCCTACTTTACATGATGGACCACCCTGGCCCCTCCTTTCATACTGGGCATACCCACAATATTACATCCATGACCTCAAGCCATGAGCATTGTAACCTATCCCATATTCACCATGGTATCATATTTATAGCAATAATGGCAGTGATGTAAGTTCTTGAATGTTTCCTCTATAGTCTATAGAGAGGGCAGCTTAGTTGTCTTCTCTTGTGGCCTAATATACAAACATGGCCCTGAAGTTCCCATGTGCAAGTAGCTAGTTCTACAGGATTAGATGAACTGAACTAAAGAATATCCCTGATAGATCCATCACCACATGTCATAATTTTTAACCCTAGCGCACGTAGGGCGGTATTTAACCTATTCTTCCTGGGGTACTCACATTTGATGGCCTCTCAATACTTTCAAATCTACAGATGAGCGTCGAATATATAGCTGCAGTAACTATATGAGTTAGTTTAAACGAGAGCACTTATGCTATTGTTTACTATATCTTCATATGGGGAATGATTTTGCTCTCATCATTGAATCAGTTTCAAATCTATAGATGAGCGTCAAATATAAAGCTGCAGTAACTACATGAGTTAGTTTAAACGAGAGCAGTTATGCTATTGTTTACTATATCTTCGTGTGGGGAATGATTTTGCTCTCATCATTGAAGAAGCAATTGTAGTGCCTCATACTGTTGGCAAGTGGTAGTGCCCTATGAAGCACGGACACGCATAACATGAAGCCGTGTCATGTCGTGTCCGTGTCGGACACACGTGTCGAACACACGTATCCTATGTATTTTTTAGGATTTGCCTCGTGTCGGCGTGTCGGATGGCCGTGTCAGATCCGTGTCCGTGCTACATAGGTAGTGCCTTTTCCAAACTTTACATCATGATGCAATGTTACAGAAGGCGGCATACTAGGTGTTCGAGCCGGGGCCTAGCGCCTAGGCGGCGCTTAGGCGGCGCTTAGGCGTTTGCCTATTTTTAAATTTATTTAATTATAATAATTCACAAAAATATGTATTAATCTCATATAAAATTGTAAAAAAACATAAATAATAAACTTAGATCCATAATTAACCATGCAAAAATACTAAATAGCTAAAATAGTAACCAAATACTAAGAAACACACCATGTCCAACATAATCAGTTAATCACAGTGAAAAAATAAAATAGTGAAAAAGATGAAAATTTTACTTTGAAAAGACAAGAGGAAGGCTGGCAATGAAGAGGAAGAGGTGGCGAAGAGGAGGAAGAGTAGTGATTAGCTCGAGGAGAAGGCAGTGACGAAGAAGAGGAGCTGGCGAAGAGGTGGCGGGAGCGAAGAATAGTTGGCAGTGAAGAGGATGAGGAGGCAGCAGGGGAGGAGGTGGCAGCGGGAGAGGGGCAGTGGTAGTACGCAAGAGAGAGGGAGAGAGAGAGTCAGAGAGATAAGGTTAGTTAGGTTAAGAGTTAGTAATGAGTTCGAGTTTGGATTGGGTTTTAGTTTAAAATTAGGGATTTTTCTTTTTTCTTTTTTGTTCAAAAAGCTAGGCGGACCTTGGTGGCGCCTAAGCAGAGCAGCCGTCTAGACTGGCCGCTCAGGCCAAATCTAGGCAGCCGCTTTTTACAAAAATGTCATGATGATCCCTTGTCGTGAAATCACTGCAGGAATTATATATCTGAACACTACTTGAGAGACATAATTATACTAGCAGAATCCTTTTAATAAGCCTTACCAATTACCATGCAAATGAAATCAATTTATTGTGGAGACTTCTGCAGATTACTTTGTTTCATGCCATTTATTGTTATTTTGACATCTAGTTAGATTTTTTATACTTCTGCTGATGGCTCTTTTTCATGATAATTGTAGTTTGGGGATCTCGATGGCGATGAAGAAGAAGAAGACTTTGCTGAAAGTGCGAAGTAAGTGACCGGATTTCGTTTTTTGTGCTTTAATACCTCCAAGTTTCCTCTAGAATTTGAGTACATTGTTCCATAACCATATGGGGATTCACCAACTTTTACCCGTAACTTGCTTCCCATGGGTTCATGAAGTTTATTTCTTTAATTGTTCACTTATATTACGTAAGAATTAAACGACCATATTATTTGGTGAATGGCAGACTATAAAAAAATGCTGAACATGTTCGATTTTCCTTGGTTAAAAGAGATGTTTTCTCTTTTCCTATGTCGATTGTAATACTTTCTCTTTTGGATGTTGTGATGATGCATTCTGCAGCTCTGCTGATTGTCTTACTAAGGCTTTTCCTTGATAACGAGCTTCATAATATTAGAAATTATTATAGCTTGTTCATGTTTGGTTTGATCTGTAGACATTTGCAAGCATGTATTAGTGCAGAATACATGTAGCATATACTATCTATTCTTCAGAACTTTAAAGAAGAGTGTTTTCAGATATGAAGACTTCTTTGGAGGTAAAAAGAAAAGTGGAGGCAAGAAGGATGACCACAAAAAGGGAAAAAGATCCTCAAGCAAAGTAGAGTTTCATGATGAACCAGAGGAGCTGGATTTGGATGGTGAACCGATGGATGATAGTAATGTTGACATTCAGGTATGGCAATGCTCTCTTAAGTAAATTAAAAGAAACAGTTCATAATCATGGATGCTTAGGGGAAGTTTCACATGTATATTTTTCATTCAGGAAAACGGGACTCTTTCCACTCATGAGAAACAACTCCTGAAGATACAGTCTAAAATAGAGCAGATGGAGAAAGCAAACATGGAACCAAAGGCCTGGACCATGCAGGGTGAGGTAATTGATTGGCTTTACTGGTTCAATGACATAGCTGATTTGAACTATAATATTACTTCATCTAGTTGTTGACATATTCAAATTGTTGCATTGCATTTGAAGACTAGCGATCTATCTCCCCATTATTGAGTACTCATTGCTGTCACAGGTTACTGCTGCTAAAAGGCCTAAGAACAGTGCGCTTGAGGTGGACCTTGATTTTGAGCATAACACGAGACCTCCACCACCAGAGACTGAGGAGGTTACGCTTGCCCTTGAGGATCTGATAAAGAAAAGGATTATAGAGGTATTTCATTTTAAAGGCGAAAGTTTTGCTTTTTGCACAGCTTTTCTCGCCAATCAACTTCATTTGGATTTGCTTACAAAAAGTTCTTCTCATGATCCTTGCGATAAAAGTGTGGCCTCATTTCACATTATCTCTCTTATAAAAAATTAACCAACTTGATAATGTTCGACAATCAGGAACAAAAAGGTTTTAGCTAGTTGTCAAGTGTTGTTTCTATCAGGTTGGCGGCAATAGAATTTTTGAAGTTCTTGTTCACATTAGGTGGCAAATAGTAAGTTCAATGGATTCTTGCTAAAATTCGATCTCATGTAATCGAGTGAATCTAGATCATCACTCTTGGGCCCGTATTTATCTAAATTCCTTTTTACGACCTTCTAAACATAATTGCTTTTAGCAAGATATCTGACATTCTATTCACCATCTGATTAGTTTAAAGAACAATCAAATTCAAAATATTTTTCTGCTTTTATTGCATTTGCCCGTTATACATAGTGATGTTTTGTAGCTTGCTAGTTGCTTTTGTCTCCTTGGCTTGTCTTTATTCTCTGACTGAGCCGTGCACCTTTGACTGGTGATTGTGATTAGTGGATACCAAGAGAAGCAATATTCCCTCTTACAAATTTATTACCAACCCTGAGATGCCAAATTAAACTCGCTTTGAACTTTCGCAGTTGTCAGTTGTGCAACATCTAGAGGATGGCCAAAATAGGCCATGAGGCATTTCAAGATCTGTGAACTAATTGACTTTCTAGAAGGCAACAACTCTCATGAAAGGAGGAAAGAGTAGTAAACAAATACAGAGAACATAGAATGGAAAATAACCTACTGAAGGTTTTGTTCATCCTGTCCAAAACCACAAAGGATTTCTAGAAGGTTATACAGAGACTTTATATTAGCTCATACTATTAGAGGAGCTTCAAATTGTCATATGTTTAATCCCTTGATTTGAGTGTTTTTGGCATAATGGGGGAATGAACCATGAAAAGTCAATTGTTTGTGTAAACCACTCCCATAAGTAAGGACTCTGGTAAAAGATTTCCGAAGATAAGATAAGGAGAATGGATCACTTGTTTCTAGCTTCCATATAATGTCTTCGCATGTTAGGGGCTATCAACAAGGAGGAAGATAAAAATATGTGAAATGAATCCATTTTCCCTTCCCTACCTCTCTAGTTTCCTATATGTTAAGGATATATAAATCGAGTATGTGAATCTTAAGCAATTGGAATGATGGTCTCACAAATGAAATAACAAGTAGCAATATGTTCCCTTGAAGAGGTGTCACTGTCAAGAATGAAGTGGTTCTTGATCTATGACGATAAAACTGATAATAAAACCTTGATGTATGACACTATCTTGTAAACTCTGTCAAGGAAGCTTATAGAGTTGAGCTTCACCACTTTCTTGAGAGGTCTTGGCTCTCTTGAGAGGTGTCTATTGTCGGTACAACTCTTTAGTAGTTCAGGAGAAGAGAGTGTCGTATCATTTGAAGGCCATGAATGAGGAAGGTGTTGGTTTCAACTCCATATCATATTGAACCTTCAGACCGTAGCGGATTTACTGTTAAACTTGAGTCTTTCCTGGTCTGAAACACACATTTCTGTGAGAGTTTTACTTGCCGATTGTTGTGCAATTCTTAAGTCGAGTTATATGTACCTGTCAATCCTGGCGTCAATCTACTTTTTTTATTGGTATATGCTGCAGAACCTGCAAAACCCGATGATCCCAACCATCCAGCTGACATACATATATTCTTGTCTTAACCTGAGATATTTACTTTGTTTTAAATCACTTTTCATTAAGCATTATTGTCAATAAATCAATCATTCTTGAGATTCAAGGTATAATAATAACATAAGGACACCCATAAGTCTCTAATAAGCATCAAATGCTCGTAACCTGTCGAACTTGTTTATCATATGCAAAAGAAAGGAAATCTTAGTAAGAGTTGTGATCTGTTATAGATGTAATCACACATTATCCTTTTCTAAACCAGAAATGCGTGCTGGTGTAACGGACAAACATTTACTTCATTTCAGCTTTTATTTTCATTCTGCTTGCTATTCTTGAAAGCATGCCATGTGATGCAATTCTTTTAAATTCTAATTGCAGGTACTTTAGTTCTAACTGTTCCTTTTTTCTTCCTTAGGGACGTTTTGATGATGTTCAGAGAGCATCTCCTTTACCATCTAAAGCACCAAAGGAACTCAAAGAGTTGGTATGAGTTTTCTTCCCTTTGTAAGCCTGTCTGATATATCTTGAGCTCACAAGTAGGCTGAGCAAAGTGGCTTATTCAATAGTTAAGAGTTGTTTTTGAATTTTGTACTTTTAACTTTTGCAGGATGAAAATAAAAGCAAGAAGGGTCTCGCTGAAATCTATGAGGTCTGTTGCCTTTTACTTGATTGGGGTTCAACAGATGAAACAAAGTTCACTAGATGACTGTCACACTTACTACTTTTTGTGAATGCATGCAGGAAGAGTATGCACAGCAGGCTGGTCTTGCACCTGCTCCTCTTCTCTTTTCAGATGAAAGGAAGAAAGAGGTATGTCTATGAGATATTGATTATCATCTTAATTTTCTCCAGTGCATTTTTCTTATCTGTTGTTACCCCTTGCTCGGTGGTTTCTATGAGATATATTCCAAGCTTGTTATATAATTTATTCTATATTTTAATCTATTTTATGTTACTTTGCTGGGGTTGAATAATAACTATGGAGGTGCTAACTTCACAATTTTGGAGATATGTTAATAATTTCTCGAAATGGTGCCTGGAGTTATGTGCACTTGCTGCATGCCCGATTTTCCTCTTGGGTGCAAAAATCACGCAAATTTGGTCTCATATAGCAATCTTAGTTGGGTTTGCCGATTTGTTTACTTTCTAATAAGCTGATAATTCTTATGACGTCAATGTGATCATAAAATGTTGACATCTCCAGACATTCAGTGACTGACGACTCACCTCTTTTATCTACTGTACTAGATTATGGTCTGAATAGTGTTGGTCCTTATCAAACTCGTTCCATGTATATGTAAGTGATAACTCATGGTTTGGGTTAAATGAAAAGCAAGGGTTATTTGTGCATGGTTGCTAATTGTACAAGGTGTGCGACTGGACTATTATTTTGTTGTTTTCTGTTCTTAGCATGTATCCCCTTAGTTCACAAAGAAGTTGGTCCATGTCTTCTTCTGGACCAACTTCTTTGTGACAGTCTGACTGGGGATACTAAAATTATATTTTCATTTCTAGTCTTTCTTGTGGATTTTTTTTCACACTAGCTGAGGTGATTTTATCCTCTATTTATAGGCAAGTGATTTATTCAAGAGGCTTTGTTTGAAGTTGGATGCATTGTCTCATTTTCACTTTGCACCAAAGCCGGTATGCACCTATCAAGTCATCCTGAAAAAATATTTATATTTCGAGTACTTCTTTCACAATCTGTTTCCTTCGTAGGTTATTGAGGAGATGTCTATTCAAGCAAATGTTCCTGCTCTAGCAATGGAAGAGGTAAAATATATTAAGTTTGTATGGCATTGATAACTTTACAAGACAAAGATGGGTAAACTGAATGTCATTGCAATTAAATAATGAGAGAATTGAATGTATGTCCCAGATTGCTCCTGTAGCTGTCTCAGATGCAGCAATGCTTGCTCCTGAAGAAGTTTTTAAAGGAAAAGGTGATATCAAAGAAGAGAAGGAGTTAACACAAGCAGAGCGGAAAAGAAGGAGAGCTAACAAGAAAAGGAAGTTCAAAGGTATCCTCTCTCTCTCTCTCTCTCTCTCTCTCCTTCTTTCGAGTTCTGTCCAAGTTTTATTAAGCCAATGTCAACACGATCTTAATACTGTACAATACTAACGTAATTTGGGGTAATGATCGCTTCAAGTTTACACCTAATACCAAGCTTACAACATGGATAGTGCATTTATCGGTATCTCATAATGGCCTGCAATATTATAGTATACCACGTCTAATGAGTCCTGAATCTCAATTTGGCGGAACTTGTTATCCAGCTAAAACTTTGAATTCCAAGTGGACTTGCAGATAGTGCAATCATATTTCTTATCACTTAACAATATTTTAACAATTCCTAAGTTTAGAACATTAACATATTTCTTATTTCCTAGTTTTTTTAATCCTCTGTTTGTATATTAACGTGTTTCCCTTGTTGCCAGCTGAGAGAGCTAGACGGGAGGCAAAGAAAGCACCTCAGAAGGCAGCTCTTAGTCATTCTGAAGGTAACTGATACCAACCACTAACTCAATCCTTCTCTTTTTCTTATCTAGTTTTCTGACTTGGTATCTCCTGTGTGGAATATACAGGTATTGAAGAATCATGAGCCCACAACAAACTTTCGGGGGGAAAAAAATTGAAGATCAACGGATCTATATATTTATTCTTTTCTAGTGGCCGATAGCAGAAAACCAATCTAGAAAAGGTTGCTTTTACGGTGAAGTGAACCACACAACAATACTGAAGCAGAGACATGAAGGTGAAATTGGCCCGAGGAAAGTGAAAGAAAGGGAATGAGCGCCCAAATGAAAACTCGTACTCTGAAAGTTTTGATGTTGTAGTTATTGATGTATTGCTTATGTATGAGATGCACTTGGTAAGCGGCCTACCTACTTGTTATTGATGGATGTCTCAGTGCTTTAGTTATTGAAATGCCCTGAAAATTTTGAAGGTTAAGATGGAACTACGTTTGTGCCCAAATCTCTACAGAAAAGAATGGTTTCAGTTTTCAGGGCGCCTCTTCCATTTTCCATTTGTTAGTGGTGTTATAAGAAACGTAAGTATTTCTTCCCACATTTTGTGAAATAATTTGTCGGAATGCTTTCTCATTTGAGAGTTTTTAAGGTAGTAGCTGGTTGACTTGGTAGTGAGGTATATTGTTAAGGTGTTAAGCATGAAAAGGAGCTAAAAACGATCTTTGCTGAAGGCTCGTTTGGATAATGGAAGTATTGGACCGTTTGGATAATGTAAGTATTGGAAGTAAGAAATAGATAATAGAAGTAATTTTTAAATGTAAGAAGTAGTAGAAATGATATTTTTTTGTTTGTTTCATATATTTTTAGAATTAATGGAAGTAGAACTTCTTTTTGATTTACTTTTTTTGTTTAGATAATATTTGAAAATATTACTAGGAAATAATTAACACATGTTGCTTTCACAATTTTAAAGCTACGTCACGCTCTTTAATTTGATCTAGCATGTTATAACTAGTTTCATGCCACTATGACCTCTCGCCACTTAAGAGCAAGAAGAATCCTTTAGCCATATAGCTTCAAAATAATTGTTTACCTCTCGCCTACGATGAGACTCCGGATGATCATAAATTCCTATGAATCTCCAATTTTCCTCCTCTCTCGCAGCTTTGACCGTAACACCAACGTGGTATTTAGACAAAGAATTAATAGATAAAATGTTGTCTTCATCCCAAAGAAAAGCTGGCGACGACCATCACAAATTACTACAAAATAGTTGTTAAAATTAAGAGCAATTTTATCAATGAAAAGTTATTAGAAGTAAATAATAAAAAAAAATATTAATAAAAAAATTATCTATTTCCTAATTAATATGCATTTCAACTAATTCCAATCTACTTCTGAATATCGAGGATTGAAAAAATATTTTGAAAGTAAAGATGACACGTAGGCGTCACATAAACGTTTAAGAAAATATTAAAAATAAGTTTTTCAGAAAACCAAACATATTTTTTTGCTTGGAAGTAACATAAGTAGGCTCTAATTTTTTACTTCAGCTACTTTATAATTACTTCCGTGAAAATAAAAGGTTAAAGCGGAAAGCGTTGCTATATTAAGTGGGATGTTGAGGGTTGATATGTGCAAATAGGACAGAAAATAGAACATCGATGTGGTGCTATTTAGCTGCTCGGAGTAGGATTCTAGTGATTTTTATTATTCTTTATCTGAGCAGACTACGTACTATGTATATCAAGTGTACTGAACCTGAACCGCTCATTATAAGTATATGTCACGTCAAATTAGAGGTACGAATTGGATTATCTTTTAATTAGTTGAATGAAATATGGTGCTACGGTGTATTGAATATCTAGACGAATCGATCATCTAAGATTCCAAAATTTTACCCTTTCTACCGACCAAATCATCAAGAGAAAAAGTAAAAAAATAAAGTAAAATAACATCGCTACAACAAATTTATTTATTTAGGGTTTTTTTACCATGCGATCCTAGATTTTTTTTACAAATGGAAAAATCTATTGACGTAAGCATACAATTAAAATACATTGTTTACTTATAAAATTAAATTATTATTGAAAGTAGATATGTAATTGGAGATATTAATTTACATTTTATAGTTATTAATATGGGAAAAATGTTTCAAGGCCCCCCCCAAAAAAATTGAATGTGACCCAGCCCCACCAATTATCTTCCTTAGCCTTCAGCCCCCAAAAAATGTGAAAATTGTGGCCCAGACTCAAAAGCCCATACGTATACATCTAGTGGGTGTATTTTGTTGCTACCTGCCTAAAATGCCCTCATCCCTCTCACAGGAAACCGGCTGAATGGGTTCTCTTCTTCCCTGATCTCTCCCAACGTATTTATGGCCAAGCGACGGGGGAAAGCGGGGGAAAAAGCGCGGGCTCCCGCCATTTTACGGTCTGCTTCTCATCCTTTGTTATAAATTGGTTAGTTTTATCTCTCACTCTCTCATTAATGAAATTAGGGTTTTTTTCTTCAACTGTCAACAACCCTTTTGCACCTGAAATCCCCTCAATTACTCCTCAACTCCTCATAATTGCCTTCATAACTGTCCTCATAGCCAATGACTTGATTTGCATGGTGTCTTTAGGCGAGAATGCCATATTCGTGAAGCTAAGTTCGACAACAAGCTTTTATGAACTCCAATTTGATGTGTCTGAAAGATTGAAAGTACCTAAAGAAGCTTTATCCTTTATATTTAAATCTGAGAGGAACCCCAACCTCAGTTTTTCAGTTGACAACGATGATGATTTGAAGTGCATGTTGGATCACAATCGAAATATTAGTTGTACGGAGATTCACATGCAAGCTGCTGTTAATGTAGAGTGTTTCACTTCAAGGAAAAATCAGATTAGGGAAATGTAAGTAATTAATGAACTCTTTATAACATTGGGTTTTGTGTGATGTAAACATTGTTATTTTTTTCTTCAACTTTCAACCATCCCTTATGGGCATTAAATCCCTCAATGTAAGTTATTATTGATTTGTAAGTAAACAATGAACTCTGTCAGGAACAAGTCTATGTGTGATGATAAGCCAATTGTGATTTCAGGTTTCGATGCTAACTTGGGAAAAAATAGTTGTCATCTCTGATGGTTAGATGTTAACTCTTCATCTTATAGGTTAATTTTCCAAGAGATATGTTAACCTTTACATGAACATGTTAATTGTCGTGGGAACATGGTTAATTTTACACCCAGTTAGTTAACTTTTGTTGTACTATGTTAAGGTTTACGGAAAATGGTTAAATTTACACTCAGTTAGTTAACTTTTGTTGTACAATGTTACCTTTGGTCCTAGTGCTGTTAACTTAAATTATCAGAAGATAATATAACATATTGTGCATGATATCTCACTGGTTGATTAATTTGTGCAGTAGTGATGCCTCCTCCAGGTTGATTAATTTTACACCCAGGAAATGCATCAAATACTAACTCATTAGACGTGATATCTCACTGGTTGATTAATTTGTGCAGTAGTCGTCCTCCTCCAGGAAATGCATCCAATTCAGAGAGAATCCAAAATGATTTCCCGTCTGGTGAGGTTGTAATGAGAGCTGATGATATTCTCAACAACACTTCCAGCATTCCTCAATGGTGGCACACAACATTAACTGAAAAGGGGCAACAATTTGAGACTGTAAACGAATTGAGACTAGCTTTGCAGTACTATTCCATGGCGAAAAAATTTGACTATGAATTTGTAAAGAATGAACCCAAACGTATCCGAGTATGTTGTCGATATAAGGAGACATATGGATGCCCTTGGATGCTCTTTGCATCTCCTGTTAAGTATGGTAAAAGAATTGAAATCAAAAGGTTTGTGAATGAACACAGTTGTGGACAACATGCTAACTTGTCAGGGCAATCACGGGCATCTCGTAAATTCATAGCAGCCCAATTGCGACCGGTATTAAAGGCGCGACCTGAAATCCGACCAATTGATGTGCAAAATGAGTTCCTCACTCGATATGGATTGAGACTTGAATACAATAAGATATGTTGGGGCAAAGAAAGAGCGCATGAGGATATGTATGGTGATAGTTATGAGGCTTATGATCAATTAAGATGGTAAATTTTACAGTTATTTTATTAAGTGTACAAATTTTTATCATAGCCGCTTATAGTACAATTGTTAGTTGTTGATTTATCATGCAATATCTTATCCTTAGATGTTTCATGTTAGTTTTCATTGATATGTTCCAACTGTCATTGTGGAATGTTATGTTTTATGAAAACTTGTGAGCTTTTATGTTAATATATTATCCTAATGTTCCAATGTATTATATTTACATGAGCAGAAGCTACATTGTTGTACATGTATGAGCAAATGGTGAATGAAACGAATCCAGGAAGCTACATATGCATTGACCAGAATGAAGGAAGGTTCAAAAGACTGTTTATATGTTATGCCGCTTGCATCGTTGGTTTCTTAAATGGGTGTAGACCCCTATTATTTTTGGATGAGACCTTTTTGAAAGACAGATACAAAGGCATGCTCCTGAGCGCCATAGCATACGACGGAGACCAAGGGATATTTCCGGTTGCGTATTGTATATGTGATCAGGAAAATGTTGATAATTGGAGATGATTCCTTCAAGGCTTGTGGTCCATACTGTATGAAAGGTTAGACCCGTACAATCCTCCCCACCAATTGGTAATTATTTCTGATACAGACAAGGGGATTCGAGAAGCCGTTCGAGAATATTTCCCTGAAGCAATTCACTCACGATGCGTTCTGCACCTAGTTGAAAATCTTAGAACAAAGCTAAAGGATTTGGGAATGAAAGCAAAGGACACACAAGTTTTGGGGAGTTTGCTCCAATCTGTTTGCTATAAATACACTATAGCGGAATGGAACGACTACATGAAGGAAATTTATGAGATGGCTCCGGTCGCATATGAGATTGTACTCTGTTATTCGCCAGAGAATTGGGCGAATGCATTCTTCCCTGGTATCAGGTAATGCATTCATCTTAGATTATGACGTTTTGCAGTTGATGTTAACTATTCTACATATATGTGAATTTTTCTTTCTATAGGTTAACTTTGTCTGATATATGTTAACTTTCAGCAATATATGTTAACACTGATGTTTTTATGTTAACTTTGAGCAGTAAAGGTTAAGTTTTGTTGTTACGTGTTAATTTTATTACATATTGGATGCCCATCATACTATTAATTATTTTGTGCTTTGCAGATATGGTCATGTAACCTCTAATGTTGCAGAATCCTTTAACAGCTCGATTGTTACGTATCCTGCAAATGATAGAGCATATCCGAAAACAAATTATGAGTCGCCTGAACAATAGACGGATAATGGCTGATAAGTGGACAAGCTATCTGTGCCCTAAAGCTGAGAAGATTGTTAGAGAAAATATGGAAAGAGGACGTACTTTAGAGGTTAAACAATCTAGAGATGATATATTCGAAGTGCAGTCACATAGAACTACTCACGTTGATTTGGAGAAGAGGACGTGCACTTGCCGATCTTGGGACGT